GGGTTAATTAGTGTACGTGCTCGAATTGGGTTTGCATAAATTATGAGTGATTGCGTCGCAATGACCGTTTTCCGGCAACGCCGAAAATTTGTCCGGGAAAATTCCCTACTTTCCGGTTTTGTTTGTGGTTTTCCGAGAGGGGGGTGCCGGGGGAGCGCGAACTGTCACCGCGGTCCGTTGATTTCGTTCCCCCGGCCAACAAAATTATGGTCGAGAGTCGAATTTTGCGGGGAGCGTAATTCCCCTTTCCCCTTCTACCGCCGCCAAAACCGAAAGCCCACAACCGCAGGTCGCTTATGCCGCGTTTGCCATTTCAGAAAATTTTCGGGAATAATTGCGTAATTTTTGTTATCCGTGTTACCAATTCCCTCTATTTTTAATTGCCAAATTTGAAAGAAAAACCTACTAGTTCGGCCACAAATTAAAATGAATAAAAACTAAATGTATAAGTTCAACCTTGACAAACAAAAAGCCATCACTAGCTCACAGTATTATAAAAATTTATGGAGAGTCGTGTTTAAGAGATCGGTGTCACTGATTCGAAACTGCTGATTCTTTTTTGGCTTTTCTCATCTCCGATAAAGGACGAACGGAAAAAGATAAAGACTCCCTAATTGTGCAAACTCGAAACCAGATGAAAGTAACCTTTGAAGGGGTGGAAAAACTCATCACCTCAGTGGAACTGTAAATACTATATAGCTGCTATAGTTGTGCCAATGCCGATAGTACAGAAACAGAAACCACATTGTCGAGAGGATTGGATTTTCTCAATATATATCTAAATCTCGTTAAATGTTCTGAGAAAACGAGTTAGGTGTGTGGAAATCGCTGCTTAGAAAGAAAATGGAGCAAAGTGCTGGTTAGTGGGTAAAATATCGAGGCATGCACGGAAAATACCAATGCTGAGTGAGGCGCATCAATGTATGTTTAGCAATCGTCTTGAAAATAACTAGATTTTTTTGTCAAAAAAAAAGCAGTGTGTCTCATTTTTTTTTAAGTTTTACGGCATGTCTCATTTATTAATGAAGCTAACCTGTTGATTGTTGTGATTTTAGAAATTTAGCACTCTTTTTAGAAAAAGTTAAAGTGGTCTGGAAAGAGTTTTTACATAGGTTCCCGTGAAGTAATTAGTTCTTAGTTTCTTTTAAAACTCTAAGTGTTCTTAATTGGTGACAACACATTTCTCTTTTAGACTAGATGGCTATGAGTGGTTGGTAATTAATTTCTGAGTAACTTAAGAGGTGTGCAAAAACAGCACCTCGCAATATATTGTTGAGCACTTTTTTCTATTGAGCGAATTGCCTTTAGTTTTGTTCTACCATCTATCTATTTTTCTCTCATTCGAGCCTTTAAAACGTCAACGTGTTGTTATCTTTGCTTGCAAATCCCACAAGTAGAAATCAAGTGGGGTTATATCTGGTGACCTAGGAGGCCATTTGTAACAATCCACTTATCATTGAAAATTGTTGTCAAAAATTAATATGTGCCTCGAAATGACCTGGTGCGACATTGTAATGGAAATGGAGATTCTGCGTAGTTATGAGGTCAATGTCATCTAGAAGAGCCTCCAAAAGCGTAAATTTTACATTATCAATTGTTTTTTCTGTTTTCGCCATCGTAATCAGTCGCAAAAATGCTACTAGTTTCCTAATTTAACCGACTTCGTATTTCTAGTCATAACAAAATTACCATTGAAGAACACTTAATTTAGATAAGTGGTTATATCTTTAATTGTCTTTATTAGTAGGTAATAGAAATAATATATTTATTTACATAAATTGTATAATTTATTATAAAAAGTTGATATCATGTCAAAATAAACGCGTGTGTGTGCATATTAAATGCTCATTGATAATACACCCGCATTTCAAATTTCTCTTAATAAGTTATACTTCGGATTAACATGAGAAATAGGAGACGGAAAAGGAGATATTAAGACAATAATTATGAAATGTCATGAATGTTTGACAAAGGATAATAAGAAAACGAATATATTTTTCCATGGTCTGCTCATAAAAGAAACAAAAGTAAAGATATATGCTTTGTATTTAAAATATTGGCTGAGCCCACCGTCAGGCAGCGGCCACCCGAAGCGCTGCAGTTTTAGCGCTAAAATTTTAGGACCAGCATGAAAGACGTTAGACGCTCCTTGGACCATATGGCTACAGAAAAGCGGGAGCTCAAAATAACCTCTTTTTCATGAGATTTGCCAAGTAATATCCAAATTAAGAAATTAAATACTCAAGCGACCTTCGAGAGACGAACAAGAAACAATCTACGATAGGGTTGTGTTGTGTGGGTTAGCAGCATTCGATTACATGCTGTATGAGAAGCTGTTATTTACCCACCTTAAGTTCGTTCAGGTTGGAGAGCATATAATGATCGTGTCTTTCGAGAAAGTTACTTAGCCGAAGAACTTCGTAATTTAGTCCACATGAATGATCACAGATTTAAGTGTAGGCGCGATTCACTCTGGAATTTTTAAACATTGTGTCTATATATTTCGTTAAAAATGCCACCGACTATTATTCATATTTATCTAATGTCTCATGTCTCAAATATTAATAAAATATATTTGCTTTTAGTGTGTATTGCACTTTCCATGCCACATACAAATAATCACCAGAATGCTGACGATGCCAAACATTATATAAACAACGAGAAATTTCACACAACACGAAACTGAATCGAGAGATTAGAAGTACTTTAAAAACTCGCTGCAACCATTTCCGAACGACGGCTGAGACATCAGCTACGTGGAAGTTCTCCGGTTGGCAGTGGTGTACACATCGAACTTTCCAAATCCCGTGGCTGAATATAAAATTCAGTCTGAAACTTTTATGCACGATCTTTCAACTCTTCTATCTCAATGCGACGCTAGATCGGCATGCCTTATTCAAAATAAGAAAGTCTTCCAATGTAAAGTTTTATTAATTTTTTTTGCGGAAAAATAATTTTAGTTACTCGAAACGAAGTAGCGTAATGATGCAAAGTGGAATTATCACGTCCAATATCCGTAAAATGATATAAAATTATGCGATTAAAATATAAGGTGTGTTCGGATATCAGTCGAGTCGATAAGAAGGCCATGAAGGCGGATGTTTTGAAGAAATCTCAAAATATCTTTCAACTGAGTAGTAGTAGTGAATCAATCTAATCGTGCTTATAGAAAACTCAGTTCGAGATGTAACAAAATAGTAACAATTTTACAAAAAAAAAACTAGGAACAGAATAATTTTTAATATTAGTAACTGTGATAAATTGAAAAGTTAATTAAAAACGGTAGCACCTATATAAACAGAATTTTTTAAAAATCTTACCACACTTCGCCCGTAAAACGAACTTTAGAACTTTTAAAATGATACTATTTTATCAAAAAAACTATTCCGGTATACAACGTCATTGTGGTTATGGTTATTGGCAAATGGTGAAAATCAAATATCCAGAGTAATCTCGCCGACAAAAGAATAATTAAGTTACAAGAAAGATATACGAAAGATATACGAATCACTCAGGAGCTACATTAATGTATTTTGACAAACTACCAAGGAGGGCGACGCACAGATCTAACAATGTAAAGACGGAAAACACTATTATTATTCTTCAATTTGACACCAAGGCCGTCGTTTAGCTCGTTAAGCGTACGGCACAAGGCTAACGAAACGTCATCGTATAATACTATTGACCTTACAAGAGGCAACACGCAACATAAAGTTTACATACACGCGTCGGACGTCACCGCGAAAGCACAGATCAGTTGCAGTACCAATTCAAAGTTTACTTTTTTTGTGACGTAATTACATCAAAACACGTTTGCAAGTTTAACGGAAATTCCCACCTGCCCGTAAAGTTGGAGTAAATGTAGGGAACGATTGAATTTTAGAAACGGACTTAAGGTTCAGTTCGGTGCACCGTCCGCTCTTCTTAGCTAGGCAGAGGAAGATGACTGCAATATTGGGAATCGAATGGTCTCTTGTAGATAGCAAATTATAATCTACGGTCTATTCTCAATTTGTATTGCCGCAGGAACAATTTTTGGATTTTGCATAACAAAGAAAAAAAATTAAAACCGAGTCGCACTTTGCTGTTTTTTTCTTCACTAATTCATATTATTCCTGAAGCTATTGTATTGACTAAAATTGTATTAGGCGATAGACACTTTTTCTTCTTTTTGTGACATGCATTTTTAAAGTGTCTTTGTTTCCTAAGTGTTTTGATTAATTATTCAATTATCAATTATACCAGATATGAGAAAGATACAGTGGCTATTTTCTAGTAGGACAGTTAACAAGCACAATATTTGAAAAAACAAAAGTTTGGAACGAAAAGGCTACAAAATTTATTAATCAAAATCGGCTAAGAAGTTTACTGTTCTGAAGTTATTCACTGGAAATAGATGCTCCGGCAATTGACGTCTGTTTGCAGTACAATTTCATTCCAATTCGGAATATTATTAGATTTAAAACCCTAAACGTCTGGTCATAGGACATAATATTAATAAAATAACGGTTTTCCAAAAAATATGAATTGTTGGAATAAGTTAGGGAACCGACACTGTGGGCGCCTAAAGTTAGGTATCGGCTACAGTGACTTTCCTACTACTGCTACTTTAGTAGTCTCCCATAAAATAAATTTAAGTGTCACCTAGTATAAGGTTGGTGGGAAATGAAAACCGCCTGTATGCGCGCCACTTTTTGTCATTAAAATTACCATTACCATTTTAATTATTCGATATACATTCCTCTAGCGTATAATTTACGTAACTACAATTTTTAATTGTATCGATTTACTTTCTAGCGGATTATGTCGACTCAGGCCTTATTCATTGAGCGGATTTTTCTCCACTCGCACTCGCAGCGAACAATTTGTATAATTGAACGAGAGAGGGGAACGAGAGTCATACAAAGGATTTGTAAACTTCAAGACCCTGTCCAATTAAATACGACGTTAAAACACCTGCCGAGAACTTGGATGTTTTAAAAGCGATGGCGTTTACTTACCGCGGAGCAGGACAGCTACGGCGAAAAATATTTCCAAAGGTTTCATTTTCCTAGGCGTTCTGACAATCAGTAAAACCGCATACTTTCACGACCCACTTTGCTGCCAAATCGATTCTGTAACAAAACAAAAACGCATTAACCATCGTTGTTTTTCCTTGTAAACTGAAATAAAATATTATGAACACACACATGGATGCTCTCGAAATTAACGATTTCACACTGTTTTCTTTAGTCATTTTCTTTCAGTATACTTATAAGTATAAGAGTTCAGAAAACTTCCCAACCAGGGAATCCCACGAAAAGCATCACTCCTACAACTTACCTCTTTACAAAATTGTCAGTTTTGGTTACTTTATTTCTACTATGGTGTGTCTTTAGCGATTACTTCATTTTTCATGTCCTTGTCTAGCTTATACATTTTACTGCAGAATGGTTAATGCTTTTAAAAGAGAAGCGATTAATCTTTGGGGAAGTTCATAAAAATGTTTTATTATGTCTTGATTATTCTTCAGCTTATCTACTAATTGTTGATTAGCTGTTGATGTTGATTAGTTAATCCTGCAGCCGAAAGGCAAAAAGTAAAAAACCATGGAATGCTGAGGTGATGCCTGCATAATTCACCATTTAATACAAATAAGTTGAAGTACAGTTTCTTATCTCAATCTTCCGAACTTATCTTCCGTATCGGGTCCCCTTTTTTTGCCTTAAGCTTTCGCGGCTTAAAGGTCCAGCTTCCCACATTTAAGGGTTCTTTATTTTCTCCCGGTCCGGCAGGAAACGTAAGAAAAAGGGATCATTAAAACGGCTTTCAGAAATATAAACCGCTGAATTTTCGGTTCGGGTTTTAAAAGGAAACTACCACCTATAGTCGGTAATGAGCTTTTCGAATTTATTTCGTCGCTTATGAGGGAGTTTTCGACGTAGTTTCGTGAGACTTTCGTCGCTCTAAATAAGGGTCGGTACGGATAACTCGAGAAACTCATTTTAACAAACCTTGCGTTGTTTTTCAACGCTTTAAGGACATTTCGAACTTTGGAGAAAGAAGCACTACGACGATTTGTGGTTGAAGGCAAAAAGATTTTTATTGAAATCTTTATCATGTGACTAAAAAGACTAACAAATTGCAGTAATGCTCAGTTTGTTGGTAAGATAGCTAGAACAGTTGCCTGTCGCTTGATGCACAGGCTCTTCTAAAGATGTGGGTAAACCAAAATAATAAAACGTGGTTTCAATGCAAATTTAAATTAGCGGATTATATAGTTAAAAGCCGATTGGCAGACAAAAAAAAAATTAAATTTAATTTATATTAATTATTTTAGTAATTAATTATTAATTAATTAATTAATAATAGTGATATTAATTAATAATTAGTTATAATTATATATTAATATATTATAATTATCAATTATCAATTAATTGATAATTAATTTATATTAATAATAAATAAATATTTAAATATTTTGTTTTTGAATATTATGTATGTATAATTTGGCGAGTTTTGGTTGATTCGAGAGTATTTGAGTGAAGTGAAGGTTAATTATTATTAACTGTTTTTTTGTACTTAATGCTAATAATTTAAGCCAATTATCTCAAAAACATATTTTTAAGATTTTTACAGAATTGGAAATTATTTTTAAATACCTTCATAACGAGGTGAACAACAACAATTTCGAAATAGCCAAATTGTAGTTTGTTTTAAAAGTTAATGGGCGTGCTTCAGTATTTTCCAAAAAAATTTGGAAAATAATTAACAGATAAACATAGTAAAAGGAAAACAAGGACCTTTAAAAAGAGGTGTCGCTCAATCGGCGGGGTCTATCTAAATTGTAATGATAAATACCACATCTCGAAGACGGAACCTTCTACGAAAATTTCGAAGTAGTCAAAACGCAGACAAACAAAATCAACGTGTATCAGCGTTTTTAATTTTTTTTTAAATACTTTTAGAGAAAATCAATTTTATAATATTAATAGTATTAGTAACTCACATAACTCTGAAAATATATGCATAAAGGTGTTCTCCGAATATGAAGTGGAAAAAGAAATTAAACCTAAATGCACAATGTGTCCAGATTTAATTCCACCATTCCTTATATCTGGCTAAACCGCTTGTAATTCTTTTAGTCTGTCTCTGAGAAACCAAGCCGGTCCTGGTATATGGAAAATGCCTAAAATTCTTTCAACACACAAAAAAGACTGTAGATCGCAAATCACACAAATCACGCAATTTTCCTTATCTGCAATTTCTGTAAAGTTTTAGAATGTCTCCTACAGGACAAAATATTTCATGTTGTTTGGAACCAAACAGTTCCCCCATTACAAATTTAACATCTATATATATTTTTGAGGCCATTGAGGTTCTCAAATTCACATATATCTTAATTTTTCAAAAGTAAAATTATAAGCCACAATCTCCGTGCTTTTGGATTTTCCGAACCGCTTGTTAATTTGTTTTCTTCATACTCGTCTAACCGCACCCAGTACTCTATGGTCACACTTCCGATGAATACATTACCGCCTTAGGAGTCCCCCAAGGCATATTGGGGTCATTATTATTCATCATTTTGATGTCAGTTTTTTAATACATACGGATGACGTAAAAATTAAAAAAAATCCGGTGTTGAGAGGATTGTCCTAGTCTCCAGCGTAGTTCGGAGCAAATCAACAATTGATCTCTAAGTAATAAATGCAACTTAATACACCTCAGTGTTATGTAACCTCTTTTACCGCCGTTCTAACACTTTTTGTGATTTGGGAGTAATATTCGACTAGAAATTATCCTTTGTTCTTCATATTAATAAGGTACTGGCAGAAGTCTATGGATTTATCGTACGTTGGACTAGAGACTTTAAAAATACAGACATGATAAAAACTCATACGTCAGGTCTAAGTTGAAGTATGCATCAGTAGTTTGCTCTTCTTTATCAAATAAAACAACTGCGAATGTTTACTTAAACTTTTCTGTACGTTCATGGCGCTCAAATCCGCAAAAAAAATCTTTTCGATGTCCAAACATCGTTCCCCTACGAGAGACGCGGTAAAAGAAATGGACGTTTCCCGTGTCCCGAATATCAAATGAACGAGGAGGCGGATTCAGCTTTTAACCTCGTAAAATATTAACGCGAGACCCACAACGAAAATAGGGGAATTAAGGAAATGAAACGGATCCGCGGGCTTCCGCGAGAGTTCCTTCGGTAGGGGATGAAGAGGTTCCCGACTAATTTTTAATCTGACCATGCATCAAAAAGTTGGGCGGACCAAAGCCGACAAAGAGAAAGGGGACCTTCATCAACGAAAACTTATTTATTTTCGAGATTAAGAACGGGTCCCGCACTTCGAAAGGCTTTAATTCCGGTATCGTTGCTTCTGTGCCCCCATTAGGGTCGCCCTTTTAGTAAGCAATATTAAAAGTAAAATTCCAAACCTCTGACCTCACCTTTCACTAGTTTCAAATAATTTATTATTATTAAGTGCCTCTCGGGGTTTGTTAATGAAATATAAGCCAGAGCAATACGTAATAAAAACATAATAATAAAATTTATAATGTTGTACTTTATTTTCTCGGGTTCAGACAGCATCGACAGACCGATAGTGCTTGTTTCTGATAATCGCCGTATCGCCGACAAATGTTATTTTAACGTACGAGAGCTTTCCGCAAAATAAATACTTACGCCAACAGTGTCGTATGAAGGCCGAATTAAATTTGATGGCGAATCGAAAGCTAAGCGAACTACTGTAAATCTCCCAACAACCGCTAGGGTTCTAATAAATATTCACACCTCATTTTTAGTGTCTTACCTGAAATAGAATCTTCCCTATTTGCCATTTTCAAATTCTAAGTGACGTTTTCAGATCTGTCAAATGTCAAAGTTACGCCAACTTCGATGTGAATGAATCCATTTATATTTGCAGCTCCCTGAATAGATTTTTGTATTCTAAATTAGGAAACAAAAGGTAGTGGACACATTCAAGAACGAATTAGGGATAACAGGGGGGTTATTTTGTTCATAGCCAAGATTCATTTTACGTGTCTCACTCAAAATAGAATCTTCCTATTTGTTATTTTTAAATGTTAAAATACGTTTTCCATGTAAATTTGTGTAAGGAAGCCGAATCGGTGATTCAGAACGGTAATGCTTGTCAAATATCAACGATTAATAAAGATTTATCATATTAACTCGCATGGAAACAACACAACCATTCCACATTTTACTTCCAAATTAGTTTAATTTTTTTTTTTGTTAAAGATCTCATTCCACATACAAGTTTTTGTTTCTTCTTAGTTTAGTTTCTTAAAGCCGTTGTAAATAAAATATTTTAGAGTTTTTAAAATGCCACATTTATTTGGAAGTTACTGTTATTTATTATTAAACTGTATTAATTGTAATTTTATTAATGTCATTTATTATCATATAAAACAAGGGACAACACACAAAAATATGAATCACAGAGCTGGTTTCCTCACACAAATTTTCGTGGACAAAACCTTTTAAAATATGCAAATTGAAAATAGGGAGCATTCTATTTCAAGTGAGACACTTAAAATGATTTCCCTGTACATTCTAAATTAGCTATCCTTTATCGGATATGTTGGGGTTTCAACTGGAAGACTGTAGTCTAAAATTTTTTTCTGTATGTAAATGAATGTTTATCCATTCGGTATCACTGAGAGATAGCACCTCAAAAAATGCGTTTTTCTTAAAAATCCCTAAATTAACCAAAGCTTGTAAAAAAAAATTGCATAAGGAAGAGATATAAGTTAAAAAATGTGTATTTACACATTAACACAAGCTACAAACAATATTTTTCAATAGAACAAATCAAAATAAATCGAAATTTAATTATATAATTTTTATCCCCAATGTCAGACAAAATTCGCTTCTAAGCAAGTTCAATTCAATTCAATTATGCGTTTCACAAAAAAATGTTGGGCTCGACTGCTAGGATCATTCGCCCATTGCCGACTTCCGTCGAGGATTTTCGCTTCTGGTCAATGACCACCGCGTACAAAGAAGAAGAATAACCAATAATTTGCTCAGCTAGCAAAAAACGATTCTGACCGATACCAAAAAAATCGGCTTCCCCCCGCTTCCACCGCGGACCATCCGGGCCCATCCGGCCTCCATACCGGCGTGAACAGGGAAAAACGACGGGCCGACGACGATTATCACTTTAAAACATGCACTGAACACTAAAAACACTAAGTCCACACAGTGGAAACCGATATCAAACTTTTGAGGACGAATACAAGGGATTCTGTCAGGAGCGAACGGAGGTTAAACCGCCGCGTGCAATGCTCCACCACAGAATCTTCTAAGCAAGTTAATAAGAAACACATTAATATTTTTATCAGTCCAAATTAATAAGCGCACATTAAACAAGTTTTATGGTATTGCCGGTTTTTTTCTTCGTGTTTCCCAGCCTTTTAAACTTATGAAAGAAGTGCTGTAGTCAGACGACCTTCCATCCAGATCATGCGGGGTTTCTACTTTTATATGCTTGTACAAATTTGTTTTTTAAGATAATCTTTTTTTGCTGTAAAGGTAATCGAAAACTGCTTCCTATTATCATTGTGTAAAAAATGGGAGCTATAAAAGTAACTAGTTTGGCACATGAAACAGTTTTCGACTACCTTTAAAACAAAAGAAAATGTTCTACACAGATAGTAATCATCTTGTTGTTATTAAGCATCTTTTTTTATTTTACCCTCTCTAAATCAAATTGAAGTTATGATGGAAAAGCTTTCTAATTTTGGCAAATTTTCAATATTGAAAAGCACACGTTCATAAAACTGGTCGGAAGTGTGATTGTGTTGCTCCTGGATCTTCCGTCTTCACAGATTCCTAAGCGAAGAATTCAGTTTTACTTTCATCACTCCTGTGCCAGTTTAAATTTATAAGATAACGACGACCAATATGTCCCAACAATTAAGTATACATGGTGAAACTTGCTTGTTCAATTGAAGACTTTCAGAAGTGTATTACGAATGAAAAATTATATTTTAGCTTACAGCAATATACAATAATTTTAAGATGCCCCAAGTATGCAGACAAAACAAAATCAGCAGCGGAGCAAGTTTACCGAACGTGTTGCATATTATACTTTTGCTACGACCGTTAGTTTTTGGGTAGATTTTCTCGAAATAACACGAATACATTCACTGACATGACCGTCAGAATTGACAAACCTCACAATTCAAGACGTGGGAAAAATCTCCGAAAACATCCGAATGCTCCCAAACTCGTGCCATAAAATCCCGGATATGCTGTTTTGCAAAAATGTACCGAACTGCAGTAGAAAAAGTATAGTATGTAACACGTTTGACAAACTTTCTAAGTCAATCGTTCATTAAACAGTCGCTCCCCTCGTGCCAAACCAGCTCGTGACTCAAATTCCGTTTACCACACTAAATATAAAGGTGATTCAATAAGGGTTTCCACATTAAAATAATAAAAAAACTCGGAAGAATATAAAAATATAAAAACATTTTTATTTGCCATTTTAGATTCTTCTTCTTCTTCTTCATAGGCTTCTTCCAGTGATTTCCATGCCAACCTTTGCTGTGCGGTTTGCATCCAATTTTTTCCAGCATGTCGTTGAATGTCATCTATCCATCTCGCTTGAGGACGCCCCACACTTCTTTTCGTTCTCCTTGGACGCCACTGCATTAGTGTTTTGGTCCATTTCAAATTGTTTCTAGCAACGTGTCCTACCCAACGCCACCTGAGACTCACTATCCGCTCTACAACGTCACAGACCCTTGTTCTTCTCCTTATCTCTTCGTTTCTGATCCTCTCTCTTAGGCTTACACCCAGCATTGCTCTCTCTATTGCTCTTTGACAGACTCGGAGTCGATTTGCACTGCCCACTGTAAGTGTCACAGTCTCAAGTCCGTATGTTATTACTGGGAGGATATACATATTGTAGACCTTCTTTTTCAAATTCACTGGTATAGTCGGGTTGCGGAAGATATAGCTAAGTTTCCCGAATGCTATCCAGGTGAGATTGATTCTTCAGGTGATCTCTGCTGTCTGATTTTCTTTCCCAAGCTGGATGTTGTGTCCTAGATATATATATCCCTTGACATTTTCTAGCTCGTGATTTTCAATGGAGACCTTTATATTGTCGAGGCTCAGAAGTTTAGTTTTTTGGAGGTTAATTTTGAGGCTACAGCTTTCAGTTCTTGAATCATTGTTGTCAACTCGTTTGTGTTGCTGCTGCAGAGAACGATGTCGTCCGCAAATCGTAAGTGGTTGATGCGTTTTCCGTCTATATCAGGTCAGGTTCTATGCCGGCTATTTCGCGTCTAATCTCCTGTTTCAGCGCTGGAATAGTGTTTGCTTTAGTTCTATACACTCTGCTTTTTAGATACCCAAAAAAAAAAATCTAGGGGCGTAAGATCACATGATCGCGGCGGCCAATTGATATCGCCGTTACGGGAGATAATCCGACCAGGAAACTTGCCCCGCAACAATTGCATCGTTTCTCTGGATGTGTGTCAAGTGGCTCCATCCTGTTGGAACCACAAATCTTCAATGCCCATACCTTCCAACTGCTTCTAGAAAAAATCAGATATCGTGTTTCGATAGCGATCACCATTAACCGCAACAGCGTTCTCCGCATTATCCTCGAAAAAAAAAGGGCCAATTATTTGTCCGCACCAAAATGGGCACCAAACGGTCACTTTTTGAGGAGGCATTGCTTTTTGAAAAATCTCTCTTGGATTTTCTAATCCCCAAATACAAGCATTGTGCATCGCTAAAGATGATTTTCGTTGAAAAATGAACCCCTTGTTCTCGTATCCATTCTGCAAACACGCGGCGCTGTTGATGATCTCGAGGTTTCAACTCCTGAGTTATTTGGACTTTATATGGGTGTAGATGCAAGTCTTTTGTTAAAATTCGCTGTGTGGTTGAATACGTAATACCCACTTGCTGTGATGGATGATGAATTGATGTGTTTGGATCTTCGGCTACATTTTCGCGAACAATGCCAATATTCTGATCTGACCGACCTGCCCGAGTAGGTTGAGGGACTTTGAGATTAGTTACAGATCCAATTTGCTCAAATTTTTGAACCACATATATATATATATATATATATATATATATATATATATATATATATATATATATATATATATATATATATATATATATATATATATATATATATATATATCGTCGGATTTTAAGACAAAAGTCTAGAAAATCGTCGACGACGACCGAAAGACGTAAGATGCAAAACCGGAAACATTTTAATAAATTTGGCCCGCGCTCCGAGACAGCCGGGGACGATTTAACTACTTAATAAAATTTAAACCGAGTTACCACTTTGCAAAGTAAAAGGGGTATAATGAGGTAACCGGCAATGATTTGTTATCCCCATTAGACTGCAACCCAAAACGGTTTTCTTACGGGATAAGGGTTTTTTTTTGTCGTCGCCTCACTCCTTCCTGCCCGGCGAACTTTCTAATTTTACTTTAAAATTCAATTCGACGTATTACTATTCATGGAGCTGCGAGGGGCGGCGACGCCGAGCGGGGATGGGGAAAATCGACAATAAAATCGTTACCAGGGAGGGGTTTGCGAGTCTTTTGCCTTCGATAACGGGGGATATCGGGATTTATATTTAGTGTCGAAACCGTTCCGTTTTATTGGTACATACAGTCGCAGACGTCTTTTTCGTTACTTCGACGGCACGTAGAACTTTAAAAGCTCCTCGACGATAGTTGGATTCTTCATTGCGTTTCGCTGGAGCGCAGTGGAGTCGTATTAAATAAAATATTAGCATACACCTGGTCAGTCCAAATCAAGTTATTGTAGTTATAGTGTTTGAAAAAGTAAATACAGAATTTTGAAGAGTTTATAACATTTAATTAAAACTAAGCTATGCGGAGTAACACAATTAAGAAGGTAACTATTATGTACCAGGAATAGTGCGATAGGAAATGAAAAATGGAGCAAAACGCTAAAAAAATAAAATTTAAAGTAATTTTTGGGACGTATTTGGAAAAAAAACCCTCATTTTTTGCTTTGAAACCGATGTAAACATACATACGTCAAGGAAGCGTATAAGTTAAATAACTTATGTAGCAAAATATTATGGGGAGACTTAAAATAACGCGATTATTTTTTTTAATCGTAATACTTTTGGACAGCAAAATTGGACAAAACTAAGCTTCGTAATCAACTGACGTTGAGCCAATACAAATGTTATCAAAATCAAAAAATCAAAAATTGTTAAAAATTTGGGATACATAAATAAAACAATTCTGATTTCACGCGTTAAAATCGTTGTGCGTCTGTCGGAAATGCAATAGTAAGGATATGCTGTCACCGTTTTGCCGATTTTGATTAAACTTCGTTAGTTTGTGTGTCGTAGTAAACTTTATTTGATATATAGTGATTTGCAGAGCAACCTAATTGATATTTTTGAAAAAAGTATGGCAATGATTTCCGAAACATGTTTTTTTTTTCCTGAACACCTCAACTTTATTGAGTGGAAGTTAAACCTATTCATATTCTTAAAGAGTGCAGTAGGATGTCAGATTTCGGCATTTTTCTTATGACTTGGCTATTTTCTTTGAACTCAAAAACGAAACGTTTCGGAGAGATCAATTAGGAGAATTTCACGACTTCCAGTCGAGCCTTTACTCTTATCAAAGGCCGCGGCGCATCGAGAGGGAGTTCGCAAATTTGATTGAATTTCTGACCCCGCAACGCAAAGCTTTCAGACCGAGAATGATTTGAGGTTTATGTCCAACAAAACGAACGTACGGATAAAAGCATAAGTCCCCCGCGCATTACGAATTGCCAGGCAGAGGGTGAACAGAATTTGGAAAGGGTAGAACTGTGAAACGGTAATGATTTCTCTAAAATACGATTTAACATGCCACTCGGACATTTGATGTCCCCCGTACGCGAAATCTGTGGCTGTCGGTTAAACAAACGTGTCTCGTTACGTTTGTGAGACGAAAAGTTAATTGTTGCCTATGGTTTCCGGCAAAACTATTGCGAAAGCGCCCGTCATCTTCAGAGACAAAATTATGCGGATTATTCCAGCTCGATAGCAAGCAGGGATTGTCGTGGCCAAAATACATAAATTGTGCTATCGAAGTAATATTTTCTCCACTAAACGTTGTCACCACCCGCAATCATCTTTTGTTTCTAGATGCAACTTCTTAACATCCACAATTATTTTTGGCTTAAATGCACAGACTGCGGCTGGAAAGACATAATTCTTCGAATGCAGGATTTTTTTTTATTCTGTCGGTCTGATCTTCTGCCTGGTGGACACGACTGCAGTGATCTTCCCGGAATTTCTTCTTCTTTATTTGATCACCTATCTTGTTTCATCTGATTGATACCGTAGTTCTTCATTTGTTACAATTTTTGGGTTATCAGATTCGTAATATATTGTTGACAATCGGCGGCCACGTTAATGTGGTTGTATTACTAGTTGTCCAGACCATGGGATCAATGATACAATTCTCCACTCATTCAATTGGTCCTTCTCTCTCTCTCTCTCTCTCAAGAGGGCAAAAATTGGTACTAGAGAATATTGTCAGCAATACAGAAATCATCCCCCAAACTATCCTAGACGTAAGAACCTTAAATGGCGCCAACTCCGGAAGCGGTCATAAGCTGGTACTTTGCAAAATGAGATTAGGAAATCCCAAGGCCCCAAAACCTAAACTGTTCATAATTAGCACATTCAACGTCGAATCGATAGAGGAGAAGAATGTACAAAACCTATATAAAAACAGATTAAATCAAAAAATAATACAAAAACCAATCAATGTTCAAGATTGCACAACAACAATAATGGACAACAATAAAAACAACATATTAGACGCCGCCATGGAAACAGTGGGAAAAAGACGGATAAATGTCAACACAATCATTGAAACAACCTGGTTTACTCCGGAAGTAAAGAAACTAGCACAATAAAAGAAAAAAGAGTACATTAAATATATACGAAACAAAACAAAAGAAAACTAGAACAACTATCGAAGAAAACACTGGGAAAAATTCACAAAAGAAATGGAGAGAGATATGTACGGAGGACAAAGGAAAATATGGTGGATGTTAAGAAGAAACAAGCTTGAAGTCAAAGATACCGAACAAACTAATAAAATAACACCAAAACAGTAGGAAATATATTTTAAAAATCTATATAAGGAAGAGGAAGACATGGAGCAAACAGAAAAGCTACAGAATGAAATACTAACCTTATTTAAAAACATCATAGATGAACAAAAAATACCGAACGATTGGAAGACCAGCACGACAATACCATCTTCAAAAAATGAAAGAAATCGAATCCGGAAAACTATCGAGAAATAACACTGCTCAATAGCATCCTCAAAGCATTCACAAAAATTACACTGGGAGAAGTCACCAAAGCCATAAGTATACGAGAAGAACAACAAGGTGTTCGAAGGAACAGATCCACTAATGATGCAATATTTATTGTCAAACAAATATGCGAAAAATCGTTAGAATTTAATTAACCTGCGTATATGTGTTTTTTCGATATGACCAAGGCTTTCGATACAGTGCGTTTGAGGGATATCCTAGAACTCATGGGAACTCATAGATTGATTAACCTAATACACGATATAATCAGCCATTGTAGAACAAAAATCAGAGTTGGACATACAACTGAAGATATAAATATAAACACAGGAATTAGACAAGGCGATTCACTTAGAACAGCTGGATTTAAAATGGGAAATACATTCTTTCATGCCGTCTGCTACGCAGACGATGCTGTTCTTATTGCAGATTCTGAAGATAATCTCCAAAGACTAATAGACTCTTTTAACACTAAAGCAAAAGAATTAAATATACTTATCAACACCGA